AGAGCGGAGAGCCGAAGTGGACAGCGGACGACGGCGGGCTGGTGGTCTGCTGTGCCCTATGTAGCACCGATACCGGTACGCGGAAACGCGGAAACGCGGAAACGGGTACGGGGATACGTCAAAACCAAAAAAAGTAGGATACGGATACGGGGCCATATTTATAAATATTAAAAGTTATGGGGGTGTATTTACAAATATTAAAAGTTATAGGGGTCTATTTATAAATATTAAAAATAGATTTTTTTTGAAAATATATATATATATATATATATAATATTTAAAAATATTAAAAGTTATGGTGGTGTATTTACAAATATTAAAAGTTATAGGGGGTCTATATATACACACACACACACACATATAATATCCTATGATGTCTACTCATTCATTGCATTGAAACATTTTCCTTTTTCAAGATACTTGGTAATAATTTCATAATATTTCTCATATACACTAGTCATCTCGAAATATAAATATAGTCAATAAGTCATTAATTTAAAATGAGAAATAAGTCAAACAACTACAATCTTGAAATTAAAAGTGCAAGTATCCAATTCGGAGTATGAGTTAATGACTTAATTCGGATATAGCCATATAGGCCCATTATTTGATTACCAAGTAAAATGTAGTTTTAGATTTTCATTTTTGTTTAGAATTTTATTAAGTAAATTTTGGGATTTTTTAAAAAAAAAGTTGATACGGGTATCCGTCAGGATACGGGTATCGGAAACTTTCAAAAAATTACAAAATAAAAATGGAAACTTTTAAAAATTGCAGATACGGCCCGGGAACGTACGGTACGGGTATCCTAGAGTATCGGATACGGGAACGTATCGGATACGCTGATACGCTACCCTAGCGAAGTATCCGTGCTTCATAGGCTGTGCCTGTTCGTCGCGTCTTCTTCGCACAACTTTCAGTTGATGATTTTGGGGTGGGCCGATAATTAACTCATAGCGATACTACAAAAAAAATGGGTTGGGCTAGACCCTGGAGCTCATTCCTGCCCTAACTATCGTGGGTAATTCTATTCACAGCCCGCAATTTACTAATCACAGCCACGAAATAAACGAAGTATCCAAATTACCCTCCACTATTATCAAAGCAATGCTCTTTGACCGCAAACCGTAAGATTGTTTTCTTCGACCGACAGCTAATCGGCCATTGAAAGCCTTCGCGTGTTTTCTTCGACCGACCGACAGCTAATCAGCCATCGAAATTGTTTTCAGCAAATTGTTTTCAAACAATAAAAGCCTTTGCGTGTTCAATCGGCCATGGCCTCAATATCTGCTACGATAAATGCTACCCATATCCGTACAATGGCCAATGAACTGAGGTTACAAGAAGTTTGCTGAACATATATAAAGCTGATGTTATTGCTACAATACAGCACTTGCTTGATATATCAATTTCCTTCTGAATTAATTTTTGTTCTTCCTTAGCTTTCTTTTGTACTGTAATACTTGTACGTCTTAGTATGTACAAGCAGTTGATGATTTCTTCTTTAAGGCACTTTTTCAAAAGAAATCCCCTTCGAATTGTATCTGATTGTTCTAAATTGAGGGTTCATTTTGTGCTTAAGATAATATTGTATCTATGAATATTAGTTTTCAGAAAAAAGAGGAAGAAGCCTTCTTCACTCAATTGAGACTGGCGTTTGTTGCTGGAGCGCCTGGAATGTGGAGTCCTGGTCTTCTGGACAGTGGACAGCTGGACTGGACTGCTGGCGTGCGGTGCTGGAGCGCTGCTGGTGAACCGGAGTCCTGCGGAGTCATGAAGAATCGGAGATGGAGTCGACGAATGCTGGTCTGCTGCAGTGCTACGCAGATTTCCTCGACGCAAGGTTGAAGGCTGTAAATAGAATCTCAAGGGGCATGATAGGAATTATAAAAATTATGTGTGTGTGATTAGTAAAAGAGGGGCTGTAAATAGAATCTCCCAACTATCGTCCGCCCCTGGCCCGAGTATCACATGTAGGTCCAAAAAGTATAGTCAACCCGCCTGATGTGCAGCTCTAAGCATATGTATTAATGATTATTGTGTTGTTTTCACTTGGATTATAAATTTCTAATACTTAGCATAATTTGGTTTGACCCGATGTAGATAGTTTAAGGCTATGTTTGGTAATTAGTTGTTAACTTATACTACATTCGTCCCACTAATATTGGAACTTGAGAAGATGACGTTATTAGGAAAAATGAGTTTATGGTTGATATTGAATTAATAAAGTAAGAATAAAGTATAAATGATTTAGAACCAAAATTTTTTTATCAAATTTAATATGAGACAATATTAGTTACATTTTCCAGGAACCCAGGGGAAAAAATGAAAAATCTTAGTGAGAAGAATGGAGTAGTAGTCTAGTAGATAGTTGATTATTTAACTTGTATGATCGGCCCATAGTATAGTAACAACTCGGATGACAAGCTCCGCTTCATGTTTAGCTGATACCATGCGAATTGACTTGAGGACATGAATATATATTTATTGGTAGGATGCAGTATTAATTGTTTATTGATTAATTTGTTGTTAACTTAATATACACGGAGTATATTTTTTTTTAGTTAACAACTAAATTTTATTTTTTATTTTTAGTTAACAACTAAATTTTATTTATTCACATTCATTTATTAGTCAATAGGTGTAAAGTAAAATGAAAAGACAAATAGACAAAAAGGAAAAGAAAAGGTTAACCTGCAAAAGTAAATAGGAACTAATGTATTACATAATGTATTACGTTACGTAATACACCAAACATATTATTTAGTGGGTCAACTATTCAAACCACCTACATTTAGCCAAACCGATCAAAAAATGGTTGATAAACCCCGTTCAAACATGATTTAAGTTTGATTTTTTGTTATTTTGAGCATTGTCTAAGTCTAGTATAATTTGATTTGAATATTTAAAATTGTTCAAATGTATTTAATTATATCGTCCTTTGAAAGTATTTTAAGTGAAAACATTGTACTATTACATACTTATTAAATAAGTATTGGATATACATAGATATTGTATACCTAGGTTCTAAGTATTTGTTCACACACTATAGGAGTGGTTTTAAGTAGAGGTGGGCAAACGGGTCTTGGAACCGCGGTCCGGTTCGAGTAATGACGGTTCGGGTCCAAAACGGATCAGTTCTAATTTTTTGTTGCAAGAAAATGATCTGGGTAGGACCGGGTAATTTTTATAAGACCCGGGCCGATTCCAAAATAAAAAAATACCGGGTACCTGGCCCGACCCGTTATATATACTGTATAGTACTCCCACCGCCCCCCTTAGAGCATCTTTAGTGGGATCCTCGGTTGGTTAAAATGCATTGCCACGTTGATTAAATAGCTATTGTGATAGAAAAATCTTCTCCAATGGAACGGTTGATTTTTACTGTCATGCTGAGTTGGCAACGAAAAAAATACACACCGTCCGCTACCCCGTCTATTTTCAGCAGGTCTATTGAACAGGCTGACTCAGCATTTTGCGTATGAAAAAAGGCTATAAAGAAACTACTTTTTCGCATGATAACATCTCCGATTTCCGGTTCTTCAAAAGTTGAAAACTCCAACTTGCGTATAAAAGTGCAGCGCATATGTTTTTTTAGATATATATTAAATAGATAGTACTCCGTATATACTAGTACGTATTATTGTAATTTGTTTTTCCGTCTATCAATTATTCCACATATATATGCAAAATTGTGAGTGCAGACGTGAGACGTTGGAGATGAGTTCTGTGGCAGGAGAAAAAATCACGTACCTATTTCCATATGGTCTCTTGGTAGAAGAGGAGTCTTTTTTAAAATGTAGAAGAGGAGTTATACGGAGATTAAACAACTTGCTATTGTTTTTTTTAATCGTAAACGCATAATTGCATTGGAGTGAAAAAATTATCTTAACCGTCTATGTGTCCATATCAGCTCTATAGACCGTGTATATGAATGACGTGTCCACATTTTATGAGGTACAATCCACATTCCCACTAAAGATGCTCTTATATTGTCTCATTTTACCTTTTCAGGAAATCCCACTAAAATTGTCTCATACCATATTTGGTAAAGTTTGTGTAGTTCTAAATCATTCTTACTTTATTCTTATTTTATCAATTAATATCAACCACACAAACCCAATTTTCTTAATAATCGTCACCCTCGTTCGTCCCAAATTTTTTAATATTTGGGCCTCTGCCAACTTAGATTACTTGGCACTATAGCACTATGATGTATCTCAAATTCTCTATATATATTTCAGTTTTGGATTTCTTTTAAGCTACTAATGAATATGAGTTGTAATGTTGTTATTTTGGTATTGTCATTTGGGACTTGAAGAGTTCAAGGTTTACACTTTACTATGAGGTTATTTTGGACCTTTGGTGTAATCATTTGGGAACATAACATTGGCTATATTGCTAATTTTTGGAACCTCTTTAATTGTTTGGAACTTAGATATATGAAGTTATGGAGTGTTGAACTTGTCACTTGTGTTAGATGTGCACCAGTACGTTGTTATTTTGAAACTTGTCAATCTACTATATTATTGATCATTGATTAATGATTTTGGAACTTTGTAAGTTTTTACTATTTTTAAGACGTGAAAATAGGAACCGAAAAACCCGGTCCGAACCAAACGGGCCGGGTAAGGTCCGGTTCCTATTTTGGAAATTGCAATACCTGAACTGGACTGGACCGTATAATGGAACCGGCGTTTCCATTTTCTTTTGCATTACCCGCCCCGCCCCGCCCCGTGCCCAACCCTAGTTTCAAGTAGTCATATACTACGTATGACTCTAGAGTCATATAGACTATGCTAACATCGTCACACATTTTTTTATTAGAGATCATCACCACAAGAATACTCCCCTTGTCACTTAAAATTTCATCAAGTTTGAACGGCATGAGAATTAGTAGAGTTAAAAATATACGGTTCATGTTTTGTGAAGAGGAAAGAGAATTAACTTAAATCACAATTCTTTTACTTAAAAGAAAATGTTACAAAGTTAGTGGGACAAAAGAAATTGACAAAATTTTAAGGGACGATACCAACATAACTTATATACATAAAGGGTGGTAGCTGACCTCTTATAATTTCTCCACATTATAGCTAGTCTATAAATACAAAGTACTTCGTAAAAATGTATAGAAATGAAAGGAGCGAGCCATACTTATTAAACTCACTTGAGTTTCACATGTCTCCCATAACATTATTTCAAGCTTGAGCACATTATTATATTCTATCAATACTTCATTACTCCATATGATAATAGTTTGTTGATACAAGCTCTTAGAATTATTACCTTAATTATATGCCTCTAATGATTGCTTCATGCATGGGATGCAATGCATTTCTGCATCCTATACTCTCAAGTCTCACCAATTAAACATAGAATTGGATGATGGATGAGCATCATCTTAGAGGCCTTTACTTAATGGTGTACTTTAAGGAAAGCCGTTGCCCCCAGACTTTTGTCTACACGCCCATTTGACAATGGCAACTTCTTCTTCCAGCAGCTGTTGCTTCTGAAAATGGCAACAGCACAGAAACAGTCTTCCAAACAGGCCCTTCTGCATTCATCCATATCAGAAGGGTTAATCTGCTCAAAGTCAGATAAGGGCCAATCTGTGTCCTTTACCTCAACAAAACTAACATTGGAGGAAGAACCCCCACCACAAGTCGGAACAAAGTCGGGTTTGCAGCTGCCATACACATCCCCTGGATCAACCAATGAATAACTTTGTGGGCACTTACAAGAGGGTCTCTTGTCAGGGCCAAGTGAGCAGACATTGTTATACCCACAAGCCCCACTGCCCTTTTCTCCAGTTATGTTGGTGCAGATGTTGTCTGGCTGAGTCCATTGAGGAATCCATTTTTGGTTACCCCCAGAAGAAGACTTAGGGTACTTGTAAAGAGCCAGGACCCCATCAAAGTTAAGAGTTAGTCTTAGGTAGTTTTCCTTGACTATGGAGTCAGAAAGTGAAATAAGAGTTTCTGTTGTGTTGTCTGTTTTTAGTAGGGAGAGTGAGCCCTTGTCTGTGAATATCAGTTTGTATACAGACTTTGCCTGGCTAGTATAGTATACAGCATTGTAGTCTACATTGGTGGGAACTGTTTTGGTTCCCAGCACCAAATTGCCATTTTGAAGGAGTTGAAGATAGAACCTACCTGTTGTAAAATGAGTAGTCATCTTGTTAAACTTTCAGCAAATTAAACCAACTTTAATTGTTGTACAAAAAAAATGAGAAAAAAATGAGGAAAGCATACTCCCTTTTATGTGTCCCAAGAAGCTTTTCACGTATTTTAAGATGATTTATAAATTTCATATACACTTTTTTGAAAAGTAGATGATTTTTAGTACTTTAGTGGTGCTGTTTATTTAATAAAAATATAGTATAGCTGCTTTTAAAAATGGAAATATGACAAATATTTTATACAACCCAAAAAGGAAAAAGGAATATATTTTCCATGAATGAGAATATAATCACTTCTAAGATTTTCTTTAAAGAACAAAATGTGCAAGATTAGATTATCGCAATCCATAATTTGTCACCAACCACATATGGGGCACCAATTCAACGTACATACCAAAAGTGTGGAATTTAGTCTATTTTTTGGACCTTAAAAAGTAATCACATTCGGTATGGATTTTCAAACCCCTATCTGGATATGATCTGAACCTAATAATTCTAATATAGTTCGGTCTTCTAAGGTGTGTTGTTCTGTTTTATATATCGTGTAAGTCTAATTAAGTCTAATTTAGTTCGTCTCATTCTAATCATGTCCAGCTAGTCTCCTTAATCATCCTTTTGAAGTACATAATAGAAAGGTTAAAGGGTCAAATAGGCCCTTGAACTAGCTTAAAGTGTTCAATTAGCCCCTTATATAGGAGGTTCAGTCCGGTTATCGCCAATTGGGGAGGTTCCCGGTGAAATTTTTTGATAAAATTTGTTGAGCATCTTTTTCATTAAATCTAGTTTATTCATATCAAATTTCAGCTAAAAATTAAATCAGGAAGGCATTCAAATGATTTTCTGAAATGTACCGCGTTATTTAACTGCGCAGTTATCTTCAAAAAATCATTTGACCGCCTTCCCGGTTGAATATTTAGCTGAAATTTGGTGTGGGTAAATTAGACTTAATCAAGAAAATGCTAAAAAAAATTCATCAAAACATTCCACCGGGAACCTCCCCAATTGGCGATGATCGGGCTGAACCTCCTATATAAAGGGTTAGTTGAACACGTTAACTAGTTCAAGACCCTATTTGACCCTTTAGCCTAAATAGAAAAGCTTATACACTATATATCGAGCGGTCCGATTGCATTTGCAATCTGTACCGTAACCGCATCACAATGCATCCTCGACGCAATAACAAGTCAATAGCAACAATAGCAACAATAGCAACATCAACTCTTACCGTGACCACAAATGCAATTTATTTAAAGTCATGTTATATGCAATGTAATTTCTAAACTCCAAGCCTTTTAATTTAATTATGAGAGGCCTACTGACCTTGTGTGAAATTGGCTTCAGACTTTAAGGATATGAGACTGCTTCCATTCTTCATCTCCTGGGTTGGCAACAAAGTATCAGTTGGGTGGGAAAAAGTATCCCACAAAACTGTATGATCACTTCCAGAGAGTGCAAGTTTCCCTGTGTCATAGAAAGATCCATAAGCAACTTTACCAACATAGCCATCACTGCTCCATAATCTGTTTCCCCGAGGATCACGAAGAACAAGCCCGTTTTCGGCATCCAGCTGCAGGGTTGATCCTTGGGGGACTCCAGAAGTATTGGTTTTGGCATGCCAAACTATGGTAAGGTCGTTTATTTTGGCATACCATATGCACAGTAGGAACTGGTTTGTGCCTTTAACTTGTGAGAACCCGAAAGCGAAATCACCGGATGGTGATAAACGCCATGGTATGGTCCCATTCGTTGCAGTGAGGGAGCTGTTAACTGGTATTTCATTGCCATTGTTTTGAGCAAAGGCTGGAAATGGAAGGAGTTGCAAAAAGATGAGGAGAATGAGGAGGTAGAAAGGAGTGTGCACCATTTCCAGAGAAAAAATGAGCTAGTTTAAAGTTCACTGAACAAAACAGAACAAACCCAAACTTATCATATACTACAAGGGATGTTTGGTAAGAAGGATTCAACCCTTGTTTTAGCTTATTGGATTTGTTTGACCATATCAAGGATGAAACATTTATTTTAAGTGTTAAGTAAACGATGCTTTTAATTTTATATTTGACTCTTGTTTATCAGAGTTAATAACATGAAAACGTCTCTTTCAATGATTTCTTCCTATCCTTTTGACTTTATGTTTCTTGTTTATCAGAGTTAAAATGAAAACGTCTCTTTCAATGATTTCTTCCTATCCTTTTGACTTTATGTTATATATACAGTACTCCGTAGTTTTTTTTGACACCATATTATACTCCGTAGTTACTAAGTTACCTTTGTAGGTGAAAATGGGACTGGTTCATTGAATTTATTGTACTAGTATAATATAATTATTAGAAAATGAACATTGTAAATAAAAAACAATAACAACAATTTAATAATAATAGTACTGTATGCTTTCATGGTTAAAACAAGAAAATATAGCAATGATGTACTACGTAGTAATATAGTACTCCATTATAGTAGTATATAGTATGCAAGTATAATAATAGTACGTATTGGTATTTATAAAACTAATATTATGGGGTGTTTGGAAGTGATTCTGCTTCTGCCTCTTTTTTAAAGCAGAAGCAGAATCATAATCAATTTTCAGAAGGTGGTCTCCTTCACCTTATAAAAAACTTATTCTAGGATTAAATTAGAGCACCAGAAGTACTTCTGCTTCTACTCCTCTAAGGAGTAGAAGCAGTTTTAAAAATCAGATCCAAACATCCCTATGTTCGCTCCATAAAATTCTTCTCATTAATCTTTTCGATATGTTTAAAAAAACTATTCGCATTCCCTTTTTAGATGGTATTTGTGTGACTAACGTTAATTTATCTTTTCCTGCCTCAATAATAATTGTACACTTTCACTTTATTAACAAGCATGTTAAATCAAAGTGAGAAGAAATTTTGTGATAGAGGGAGTACTAAATTTAAGGGTTGTTACCGTTGCTTTTTACTTTGATCAGACTATTTGTGTCGTTGTATTTTATTTTGAAACAATGACATGTATATTACTGATAAGGGTCTCTTTGCAAACGCTTAAAAACCCGCTTCTCGGATTTTGGCTTAAAAAGCTAAATTTAGTGTTTTCAAGTGACAATTTTCACTTAAAAAAAACGCTTCTCGGCTTTTGTTTGAAAATCATTATTTACTTTTTCTATTACACAAAGAGCACATATTTTATCAAACATTACCAACTTTTACTTTTCAAAATCACTTTTTTCTCCAACACTATCAACTTTTACAAAATCATTTTTCCAAAATCACTTCAAAAATATGACTAATCATTGTGAACTAATCACTAATACTGTATTTTAGAATGACAAGCCACTATAGATGATGAGTCATTGTTAACTAGACACTAAATTTGTCACGTTTTGAGTTTTTTTTTAAATAAGTCACATTTTCATCTTTTGAATTTAATTTAGTACAGAGTAATATTGAGAAAAACCTTTTATTTTCCGTTCTTCAAGTGTCTCGTTCCGGGGCCGACAGTTGGGAATGATGCTTTTATCTATTTGTTTTAGGGAAAATGGAAACTAATAATTCAACCTTTTAGCGATCTTCTTACAATAGTCCCATCTTTTCGTTATTAAAAAATAATCCAACATTTGCACCTCATCTTCATTCACCGGTCCCTGACCGGTTGATGACCTGTTATTCCAAGTTATTTTCTTATGTTTGCAAACCATTACACCATAAATCTCACCTTTCACAAAGATAATATTTTGCAAAGATAAGAAAATAACTTGGAATAACAGGTCATTAACGGGTCAGGGACCAACAAATGAAGATGGGGTGCAAAGGTTGGGTTATTCTTGAATAACGAAAAGATGAAATTATTCTAATAAGACTGCTAAAAGGTTGGGTTATTAGTTTCCATTTTCCCTTTGTTTTATGTGAACCTCATATCAATTTATGCATATCTTTATATTCTTTATATAATATAAAGTACCATAATCTGCACAGCAGTTGGAGGGAAAAATCCCGCCCAAATTAGGATCATAATAGGGAATTAATGTCAAATTTGTTATATAAAAGGAAAGTTACACGTATGACTATTGAATTTGTGATATTAATGAATTAATGATAGCTCCATTAGTCACACATATATATCATAGTAGCTCCATTAATCACACATTCACACGTACCATAAATATGGTAAACTGAAAGATGCCCTTTCAATATGGTATGCATGTTATGATAGAAATTTCACTCCATTAGTTATTATTAATTCTTACCAAATTAATGACCAACAAATTAGTAGCTATTTTAGTAGTATGATTTATGAAGCGGCTAAATAAATGATTTATTTTTAACGTCTTTTTTAATATAAAGCGGAAAAATTGCTTGTATATTGGAGCAAAAATTGTACCCACTGAGGAGCAAAGTAAGAAAACATTTGGCCATAAAACAATATTCCCACCCAAATTGCTCGCAACGAAGTGAACCTATAGTATAGTATTCGAGAAAATACCAACATAATGTATAGAAAATATTAGTAATTACTTGGGATGTTTTTACTTATACTGTTTTCAGTCTCAGATCAAACCAGATTAAACAAGATCGAACCAGATTTAAAACAAAAAAAGAGACCAAACATTTACCAGACCAGTTTACACCAGATCTGACCAGAAAATTTCAGCTCAATTAAAAACATCCTTGGTAGTATATACAATGATAATCCTACCCAAAAATTTGTAATCCACCCACGCATCACTAAAAAATAATAATAACTTTATCTTTATATGATATAAAGTAACATAGTTTGGACAACAATTGAAGAGAGAAAATTCCCGCTAAAATTAAGGTCTTAATAGAGAATTAATGGAAAATTTGTTATACAAAAGGAAAATTTATTAAAGTTGTGACATCAATGATAGCTCCATTAATCACACGTATATATCATAGTAGCTCCTTGAATCATACATTCACAAGTACCATAAATATGGTAAAATGAAAGATGCTCTTTCAATATTGTATGCATGTTATGATAAAAATTTCATCCAATAACTATTAACAATTCTTACCAAATTAATGACCATCAAATTAGTAGCTATTTGGTAGCATATTTAGTCATCTTAGATACGATAGTATATTATGAAGCGGTTAAATAAGTGATTTATTTTTGAACAAAACAGACAATAAACTTTTCTATTATTTCCAATACATCACTTTAGTCCACATACTAAAAACTATCGTATAAACAATGGTTACTATAAAAACACTATCAATCAAGACATTTTAACATGCTATAGCATAATGTTAATTTAAAAATAATTGATTAATCTTATGAAAATTCATATAAATTTTAAAGAAATGTAATAATAGTATAAAAATTGTATTAGTTCCATAATGGATAGATAATTTTAACAAGTTATCATAAAAAAATCGTTAGTTCTAAAATTGTATTAGTGAACAAGTTATCATAAAAATTGTATTAGTTCCAAAATTGTATTAGTTCTATATAAAAATAGAAAAAGGCAAAAAAAATAAAGTGAAAGTGTAAAAAACATAAAATTAAATTATAATAATAGTTCCAACAACAACACCAACATTCAAGCATTAGTTCACAAATAGTTCCAACAACAACATCAACATGAACCGATACATGATATCACAAACAAAAGGAAAACAAAGATAAGAAAGATAAAAAGATATGTTATGATAAAAAAAAGTTAATATAAAAAGAGTTCAATATACATAAGAAAGATATCATAAAGAATAAAAGAATATATATATATATATATATATATATATAAAGATATATATATAAAGAATATACGGAGTATATATATATATATATACACATATATATATCTAAAGATAAAACTTAAAAGGATAAAAAAAATAAAAAAATAAATAAAAAGAAGACAAGGGGAAAAGATGACAAGAGAACACTCCTCTACACGAACATACAAATAGTTCAAAAAATACAGATAAAAACGGTAAAATAATACGCAGTATGTACTACTTTTTTTTATTGTAGGAGACTTAAGTGATCAATGAAATATTGAAGAAACTATTTAACCTTTTCCCCTTTTGGTTTAAAAAAAATTGCATATTACATACCATTCTGTAATCTATATATATATAAAAACGGAAAAGTGTGGGGGGAGTTTGGGAGGGAATTTGGGCGGCACTTTGCATTCAAAATTCAAATGGTGTGCTGCTCTAATGTTTGGCCGGGATATGAGGAGTCCTTCAGAAAATCTGCAGTATTAAATGGTGTGTCCTTTGATCTTCACGAAGATGTTTCACGCGTGTGGTTGTGTGATATGTCTGTTTATTTGTGAGCTTCAATGCATGCATGCATCGTGTTTCTCACTTCCTCCCCATTTGAAAGAATTGAAGACGCATGCAATTAAAAGAACAACAAACATTAAATATGAACGGTACGTTAAAATCTAAAGTGTAGAAAGGAGCTTCGATTCATTGCAAAGTCCGAGGTGCCTTTTGGAATTCTCGATAAACATTTGTTAGCTAGGTATATGGCTGGTTAGCTTCCGTAAACAACTTCCGCGCGCATATTCTCCTATATATAGAGCTGTTCGTTAGCACAAACCGGCCTGCAGCCAAGGCACCAACCAACCAAACTAATTCAGCTTATGAGAAGATATTAAAAGTGAGGGTCAATGATATTCTTTCTTTTATTCATTTCATTTATTAATATGATGAATCGGCCGGTATTTACTAAAATCTGCCGTGGTATGGACGTAGGAGTGAGACATCTGCAACGGGTTGCTTGGCCATACGTACTTATATACGGCCGGAGTACTATGTGTGCAACATTGTGGCAAAGAAAGTGCATTGTGACAACCCGTTGGAATTGAAGCGACACAATCCCGTACACGGCAGATGCGGAGCATGGAGGGTAATATTCACGCCACTATTTGCGAAGAAAAAAAAGGCATGAGCGAGGTGTATCCGATCCGATCATTGCCGGAAGCT